TGTAGAAGCATGCATCACAAACAAGAAGTCTTAGAAGCCACCTGTTCGTGTGTGTGTGTGTGTTTGTTTGCTTTTGGAGACAGAGTCTTGCTCTGTTACCCAGGCTGCAGTGCAGTGGCATGATCATGGCTCCTCATTGCAGCCTCAAAACTCCTGGGCTCAAAGGATCCTCCTACTTCAGCCTCCCAAGTAGCTGGGACTACAGGCATGCAACGTCACAACTGGCTTTTTTTTTTTTTTTTTTTTTTTTTTCTGTAGCAATTTGCTTTTGTTTGTTTGTTTGTTTTTTGAGATGGAATCTCTCTGCATCACCCAGGCTGGAGTGCAGTGGTGCGATCTCAGCTCACTGCAACCTCCGCCTCCCAGGTTCAAGCGACTCTCCTGCCTCAGCCTCCCGAGTAGCTGGGACTACAGGCGTGTGCCACGATACCCAGCTAATTTTTGTATTTTTAGTAGAGATAGGATTTTGCCATGTTGGCCAGGTTGGTCTCGAACTCCTGACCTCAGGTGATTCACCCGCCTCGGCCTCCCAAAGGCATGAGCCACCTCACCTGGCCTTTGTAGTAATTTGGATCTTAGTTCTTAGAAGTCCCAACTGATAAAGATCTCAATTAGAATTCTCACTGGACAACTCAGGAGGCTGAGGCTTGAGGATGGCTTGAGCCCAGTTGTTCAAGGCTGTAGTGCACTATAATTGTGCTTGTGTATATCCACTGCACTCCAGCCTGGGTAACACAGCAAGACCCCATCTCAAAAAAAAAAAAAAAAACACACACACAATCCTTACTGGGAATGCCAAGGCAACTATACCCATAAACCATCTCTAGAGTCAACAAAACCAGTTCAAGTAAGATCTGAGAAACATGGTATCTTGCCTATCTAAAAGGCACTGCTAATGGGCAGTTTTATATCAGGTTTAGCATTGTATGTGGCATGAATTTTACAGTCTTTTAACTCTGACCAGTAGCTTTACATTAAAAAAAAAAAAAAAAAAAAAAAAGTCCATTCCAAATACCCTTTGGCTGTGATCTAGCAGCAATTTCATGCACTTCTCATCCAGAGGCAGACTATGAATTCAAACAGTGGTGTCGTAACTGACCTAGGATTAAAACTAGAATTTGAAAGGCAATGTTTATATAGTATTAAATATATTTATATATATTTATATAGTATTTATATAGCCACCATGCTTGGCTCTGAGTTATAATTTTTTTTCTTAGTTGCACACTAAATGAGCCCCTTATAGACAAGTTATTTAATAACCTTCCCAGAGATAGTCATGACTCCTAATCTCAACATATTATCTGCTCTTATGCTTGGTCAAATTGCTCAGCAAAAACAAAGAAATGAACCCATCCATGGCCATCTGATGCAAGGGCCTAGAAATATCTTAAATGGTACTTTGAAAAGGATAAATCATGTGACATTTAAGAAATTGGTTTTGGTAAGGTTAGGCTAGTAAGTCTGTGAATTTATTTTATTTCCCCATAGAAATAAGGAGTTGGTGGGGTACGGTGGCTCACGCCTGTAATCCCAGCACTTTGGGAGGCCGAGGTGGGCGGATCACCTGAAGTCAAAAGTTCGAGACCAGCCTGGCCAACATGGTGAAACCCCATCTCTACTAAAAATACAAAAAAATTAGCCAGGCGTGATGGTGCATGCCTGTAGTCCCAGCTTCTACTCAGCAGGAGCTGAGGCAGGAGGGTGCTTGAACCCAGGGAGGCAGAGCTTGCAGTGAGACGAGATCATGCCTGCCTCGGCGCTGGCGACAGGCGAGACTCCATCTCAAAAAAAAAAAAAAAAAAAAGAAAAAAAAAAAAAAAAAAAAAAGGAAAAGAAAGAAAGAAAGAAAGGAGTTCATATTCAGGAGGCTTAGAAAACTAAATGAACCTTCTTTGATCTGGTTGTGTTTTCAGGTTAGTCTAATTAAAAAATTATCCTTGCATTTCAGGCAATTTCTCGGCATACGCGGGAGCTCCTGGAAATTGAAGAGCCATTATTCAAACGCTCCATCAGCCTTCCCTATAGGGATATTACCGGCTTGTATTTAGAGCAAAAAGGTCATACTGGGATAAAATCTGATGCCTTGACTTTATCTGAATTTGTCAAAGCAGCAGGATTACAGGATTATGCTCTAGAAATAACTGCCCCTGAAGAGAATGAGGAATTACCTTGCACTGAACCATAGGAGAAAGCCGCTTCACAGAGCTTGAAAGATCAAACTAAATTACTTGCGGGAAGAGGTATGGTCTTTTTTGGTTTTCTTTTTCTCCATTTTTTTTTTTTTTTTTTTTTTGAGATAGAGGCTTGCTCTATCGCCCAGGCTGGAGGGCAGTGGTGCAGTCTCAGCTCACTGCAACTTCCAGGTTCAAGTGATTCTCCTGCCTCAGCCTCCTGAGTAGCTGGGATTATAGGCACCCACCACCACACCCAGCTAATTTCTGTATTTTTAGTAGAGATGATGTTTCATCATGTTGGCCAGGCTGGTCTCAAACTCCTGACAGTTGATCTGCCTGCCATGGCCTCCCAAAGTGCTGGAATTACAAGTGTGACCTACCGCACCTGGCCCTTTTTCTCCTTTTCATTAAGATCAGAGTTAGAACTGCTGGCTTCATTCCTAGTTGTGTCTCTGACTTATGGTACCTTCCCTTTGTTTTTGCAATTTAACCCCTTGTTAAAACAAAGATAGTCACACTTATCTTTCTGGGTAATTATAAGAATTCCTGAGCTGGACAAGGTGGCTCACATCTGTAATCCTAGCACTTTGGGTGGCTGAGGCGGGCAGATCACCTGAGGTCAGGAGTTCAAGACCAGCCTGGCCAACAAGGCGAAACCCCATCTCTACTAAAAATACAAAAATTAGCTGGGCATGGTGGCACATGTCTGTAGTCCCAGCTACTCAGGAGGCTGAGGCAGAAGAATCATTTGAACCCAGGAAGCAGAGGTTGTAGTGAGCTGAGATCGTGCCACTGCACTCCAAGCTAGGTGACAGAGCAAGACTCTAAAACAAACAAACAAAACAAAGCAAAACAAAATTCCTGAAAATTCTAGTAATGCACCTTGTAGTAGGAACATGTTGGGGAAATATAATTAAAAATAAAATCTCCTGCCAACTCCAGAGAGAGAATTCTCTCCACAAATGCAGAAAAGAAACATTTTTATTCTTGAATAAGCATTAAACTATGATGCACATCACAGGCAAGCTGCTAAAGAGATTGCAAAGACAAATCTCACCCTTTTAGATGGCAGAGCAGATACAATCCATGACATACACGTTAATTATCTGTGTCCAAAGGAAAAATAAAACTTCTGTCTTGACAACAAGCAGAAGTTACTATTTGGAGCCAGGTACCTAGGCTAAACTCCCACAGACACAGGGAGACAAAGTACCAACCTCCTCAGTGCTCACATTTCAAAGAGATGTCTCCATGGCCTCCCAAAAGAGACTGTTCTGAAGTATCAAATGCTAGAGACTATTCAGCTTTTCAAAAAGATTTGCATACATCTCCAGGGCATAGTAAAAGGATTTACGGTGACAAGTTCTTTAAAGGAAATGGTTGTTTGTTGTTTATTTTTTTGAGATGGAGTCTCACTCTGTTGCCCAGGCTGAAGTACAATGGTGTGATCTCAGCTCACTGCAGACTCCACCTCCTGGGTTCAAGTGATTCTCCTGCCTCAGCCTTCTGAGTAGCTGGTATCACAGGAATGAGCCACCACACCCAGCTAATTTTTTGGTATTTTTAGTAGAGACGGGGTTTCACGATGTTGGCCAGGCTGGTCTCAAACTCCTGACCTCAAGAGATCTGCCTGCCTCGGCCTCCCAAAGTGTGGGGATTACAAGCATGTGCCACTGCGCCCGGCCTAAAGGAAATGTTTTACGAAAAAGAAGTGGGGAAGTTCTCTTCCTTTTGGCATCAGGGAAAATTTAAAGAAAAAAAATTTTTTAGATATGTATGTATCTAAATATGTAAATATCTAAACATGGCTTACCACTATGAAATAGGTTCTGTGGTTTGCTTACAGGCTTTTTTATGTGGTACTTTCCAGGTCTTTATAATATAAAATTTAGGCTAGAGTCTACCCACGACTGCACTTCTCAAAAGAAATTATAGGCTGGGCGCAGTGGGTCACGCCTGTAATCCCAGCACTTTGGGAGGCCAAGGCAGGTGGATCACTTAAGGTCAGGAGTTTGAGACCAGCCTGGCCAACATGGTGAAACCCCATCTCTACTAAAAATACAAAAATTAGCCAGGAGTGGTGGTATGTGCCTGTAATCCTAGCTACTCAGGAGGCTGAGGCAGAAGAATCACTTGAACCCGGGAGGTGGAGGCTGCAGTGAGCCAAGATTACGCCATTGCACTCCAGCCTTGGCAACAGAGCGAGACTCCATCTCAAAATACATAAATAAATAAAAATTAAAAAAGAAATTATAAAATATTTCTCGTTACCTGAATGGCTCTAATTCCCCTCTAGTTTTACAGATTTAACTGCTCATTCTCTTCCTGAACTCACATTTTAATCCTGAAAACAACTGTGGGCTAACAACAGTCCTAAAGGACAGTGATGAACCTCCAGTTCCCTACACCTGAATGAATAGTAAAAGGTATATTTTTCTGTTTTTCCACTGACAGAAGCAAGAGTGCCTCAAATGAACGTTCATGCCAAGTGTTAATATTTGATGATGAACCTAATATTTTCCCAAATTGGACTAACAAAATTTTATCAGAAACCATTCTAACACCATACCATTGCATTTGCCTGGCTCACAATTATGTAAAAAAATGAAATGTAAATGATTAACCTAAGACCATGGTGATTTACATATATAGCGAAAGGTTTTGTTCAAAAGCCGTTTAGCATTTAGCAAACAGCGGTTATGTTCTATGACAGAGCATAGTGACATCCCTGTTGTTTTCAACCCTTATAATTGACAAAAAGTATTTGCAAAACATAAAGGAAATCAACAAATTTGCAATACAGATCTATATTTTGCAAAGTTAGTTTTAGCCATTAAATACCAGTTTTTTAAATGATTTAAATGGGAACAGCTGTAAATAAGATAGTACCAGAATAGTCATATATAGTCAAAATAAGCATGAGAGAAGCCATAATTCAATTAAGATGGTTTACCATACCTTCACTTCCCTATCCAAAATTGTGAGAAAATCAAACTATCTTTTTCCAGCTACCTACTGCTGGCAAATGGATTGAAATTTGATTTATTGGAAAAGAAGCTGCAGTATGTAATTGTCTAAAACTTATAACATTATAACTTCTTGAATTTTAGAAGAGAAATAATTTGTATTAATAAGGCTTTTCTGCAGGAGCAGCTTACTTAAGTTAGGTTGTGTAGTTTTACTAGTTGCTTCTGAAAGCCAGATACATATTGATGGATAGGACCACTTGTTTTATTCTACGTTTTCCTCATCAGTACAGTTTTCTAATTCCTGATGTCTATCATGTGGCAAACACAATACAGTCACAAGACTCCCACAGTCAATTGTGATAATCAGGGCATGATATTGTAGGGAAAATCTGTGAGTGGGAAAAAATCCTGATTCCCGAGTTCTCTTATTGGGATGGAGAGCTTGTGGAAACGACTGGCTGTTCTTTGGTTAGAGAGATGCCAAATGAAGCACAGTACAGATGGGTAAGGTGGTCTTGGAGAACAGGACTGCTTGAGAGATGCTGGCTAAACGGAGTTTCCTTGAGTTGCACAGCAGTCAGATCAAACCAGGGGAAAGGCCTGAGGTGAAAGAAAAATTGTTACTTTTTTATGTCTGTTCAGTATATCTGATTTGGCTGTCAAACACATCTTTTAAAGAAAGTTTTCCTCATAACCTTTTCATAAACTAGAAATTCAGTTAGAACTAGTCAATGTGTAGATTTAAGTGTACTTAATGGTGATTTATCACACTTATGTACATTTCTCTAAGTGTGTTTGGAGAGGAATTCATAGAGAATTATTGTAATATTGACACTGACACCCTTTGCAGAATATTTTTCTTGAATTTAGAAAGAACATAACATAAGAAGATCGTGGACATTAAGCAAGGAAGAAGTCTTATTGCTTTTAAGATAGCCTCTTTAGCTGTATAGATTAAAAAGTAGGCTGGGTGCAGTGGCTCATGCCTGTAATCCTAGCACTTTGGGAGGCCAAGGCAGCAGGATCACTTGAAGTCAGGAGTTTGAGACCAGCTTGGACAACACAGTGAGACCCCATCTGTACAAATTAAAATAAAAAAAAAATTAGCTGGATGTGGAGGGACACACCTGTAGTCCCAGCTACTCAGGAGGCTGAGGTGGGAAATTGCTTGAGCCCAGCAGGTCAAGGCTGCAGTGAGCTATGATCACACCACTGCACTCTAGCCTGGGCTACAGAGTGAGACCCCCATCTCTAAAAAAACAGAGAGAGAGGAAAGTTAATATGCAAATAAATACTTAACGGGGCAACGTTAAGTATTAGTCTATAGTGTAATTCAAGTTAAAAAGCCTTAAGACATAGGGTTTCAATATTTTTCAAAAGATCAGGAGAGCCAGGCATGATGGTGCGCACCTGTAGTCCCAGCTACTCAGGAGACTGAGAGAAGAGGATTTCTTGAGCCCAGGAGTTCAAGGCCAGCCTGGGCAACATAGTGGGACCCTCTCTCTTAAAAAAAAAAAAGATCAAGAGTAAGGCTAAGGCAAAGATACCTGCTCTCACCAGTCTTATACAACACAGTACTAGATAGAAGTTCTGGGCAATGCAATAAGGCAATAAAAGGAGATTAGAAGGCATGGACATTGGAAAGGAAGAAATGAAACTGTCTCTAGTCATACATGACATTATTATCTATGTAGAAAACTTCAAGGAATCTTTTTTTTTTTTTGAAACGAGTTTCATTCTTGTTGCCCAGGCTGGAGTGCAATGGTGCGATCTCAGCTCACTGCAACCTCCACCTCCTGGGTTCAAGTGATTCTTCTGCCTCAGCCTCCCAAGTAGCTGGGATTACAGGCATGCATCACCACACCTGGCTAATTTTGTATTTTTAATAGAGACAGGATTTCTCCATGTTCGTCAGGCTAGTCTGGAACTCCCGACCTCAGGTGACCCACCTGCCTTGGCCTCCCAAAGTGCTGGGATTACAGGCATGAGCCACCGCACTCAGCCCAAGGAATCTATTTTTAAAACCTCCTAGAACTAATGAATTCAGCAAGGTTGCAGGATATAAAATAAACATATAAATATCAATTGTATTTATATATAATAGTGATAAACATGTGGACACCAAAATTGAAAATGTTATTTCATTTATTGTCACTCAAAAAAATGATATACTTAGATGTAAATCCAATAAAACATGTACAAGACTTGCATAATAAAAACTATAAAATGCTGATGAAATCAAAGAATATCTAGATAGAGAGACATACTATATTAATGCATGGGAAAACTCAACAAAATTAAGATGTCAGTTTTCCAAAAATTGATCTATAGATGTAATCATAAAAATTACTGACAACACCAGTTGCTGGTAAGGGTGCAAAGAAACTGGATTATACATTGCTAGTGATAATATACACTGGTACTACTATGAAAAACAATTTGGCAGTGTCTTAAAAAAGTAAATATGCAACTACCAAATGACAATAATTACACTGCTGGTCATTCATTCCAGGTAAGTGGACACTTATGTTCACACAAAAGCCTGTATATGCATGTTCATAACACCCTTATTCATAATAGCCAAAAACTGGAATCAACCCAGATGTCCTTCAACAGGTGAATGGTTAAACAAATTGTGATACAGCCATGCCATGGAATATTATTCAGCCACAAAAGCCACTATTAATACACATAACAACTTGGATGAATCTCCAGGGACTTATGCTGAATGAAAAAAGCCAGTCTCAAAAGGTGGCATACATATAATTCCATTTATATAACATTCTTGAAATGACAAAATTATAGGAATGAAGAACATATTAGTGGTTACCAGGTTTGCAGCTGTGAGGAGGCAACATGAAGAATTCGTTAGTGAAAGAAACTGTTCTGTATCTTAACTGTATCAATGTCAATGTCCTGGCTGTGATATTGTGCTACAGTTTCGCAATATCTATTTCCACGGATGGAAAATGGGTAAATGGGTACATGGGATTTCACTATTATTTCTTAACAATTTCATGTGACTCTGTATTTATCTAAAAAAAAAAAATTATCTTGGCTGGGTGCAGTGGCTCACACCTGTAATCCCAGCACTTCGGGAGGCTAAGGCAGGCAGATCATTTGAGGTCAGGAGTTCAAGACCAGCCTGGACAACATGGTGAAACCCTGTCTCTACTAAAAATACAGAAAAATCAGCCAGGCTTACTGGCTGAATCCCAGCTACTCAGGAGGCTGAGGCAGGAGAATCGTTTGAACCTGGGAAGCAGAGGTTGCAGTTAGCCGAGACTGCACTACTCACTCCAGCCTGGGTGACAGAGCTCAACTCCATCTCAAAAAAAAAAATCTTGAATTCCAGTTTCTGGTCCGACATATAAAAAGCTAGAAGTGGCCACTCTATCCTAACAATAATTAAAAAGCTGAACTAAAAAATCAATAACTCTTTTAGATGTGTAAGAAAGGTAGGGTCAAGAGCAAACTATTCTCCCTAAGACTGCAGGGACCAGAACGGAAATGCTCAGAATTAGCTTGCTAGAAGAGAAGCTCATGGGCTGAAACCTCTATGGGAACCCAGTGCCAAGATAGGGAACCCGAAACTGTAACTGACAAGTTGCTGGAGGTTCAGAGTGGACAAGTCTGAGAATAAAAATGTCAGGAACCATTTTGAGATATGCCAGCGCATTCTGTTCTTAGCAAGGTCTGCCCTTGGGAGAAACTATTTAACCAGAGCCAAACCTTCTGGGGTTTTGTCTGAGCCTGACTGACCTGGGGGAAGAGAAATAGCCAGTTCCAGTCAGGTCTGCCCTTCCACGTAGAAGGAGTGGGCTCCTCAACTCCAGCCCACTTTAGCCATCCTGTTCCACTGAAGAAGGAAAAAAACCTGAGAAACACGTGTGAAGTATCCAGAGCACAGGCTCACTCAAAGACTGAGACCTACTCATAGGACTATAGAACACTTCCCCTCCTTGACTCCTTACTACATTATTAAAGGCCTATTTAGAGGCTGGGTGCGATGGCTCACGCCTGTAATCCCAGCATTTTGGGAGGCCGAGGCAGGCAGATCACAGTGTCAGGAGTTTGAGACCAGCCCGGCCAACATGGTGAAACCCCATCTCTACTAAAAATATGAAAATTAGCTGGGTGTGGTGGTGGGCACCTGTAATCCCAGCTACTCAGGAGGCTGAGGCAGGAGAATCGTTTGAACTCAGGAGGTGGTGGTTGCAGTGAGCCGAGATCACGCTATTGCACTCCAGCCTGGGTGACAGGGCAAGACTCCGTCTCAAAAAAAAAAAAGGCCTATTTACACCAGTTCTTTTTACCTGGCACATCATGTCTGACTATCAAGAAAAAGTTAACAGGCATACTAAAAGCCAAAAAACAAAAAAACACCAAAACCCACACTTTGAAAAGGTAGAACAAGCATCAGAACCACATATAGGAGGAATATTGGAATAATCAGACTGGGAATTTAAAATAACTATGAGGCCAAGCAAGGTGACTCACTCCTGTAATCCCAGCAATCTGGGAGGCCGAGGTGGAAGGATGCTTAAGCCCAGGAATCCAAGCTTGGGCAACAAAGTGAGACCCCAGTCTCCACAAATAAAAAACCTAGCCAGGCATGGTGGCATGTGCCTGTGGTTCAGCTACTCGGGAGAGGTAGGAGGATCACTTGAGCTTGGGAGATTGTAGCTGCAGTGAGCAGTGATCATGCCACTGCACTCTGGCCTAGGTAACAGAGCAAAACCGTGTCTCAAAAAATAAAATAACTATGACTAATATGCTAAAGGATCTAATGGATAAAGTAGACGGCAAGAACAGCCAGACTACGGAAGCAGAAAGAAGGAAGTTCTAGGAACCAAAAATAAATACTACTCATCAAAAACACGGTGACAGATATGAAGAATGTCTTTGAGGCCCCTATTAGTAGACTGTACATGGCCGAGGAAATAATCTCTGAATTTGAGGATATTTCAACAGAAACCTCCAAAACTGAAAAGCAAAGAAAACAAAGACTGAAAAATACTGAACAAAATATCCAAGGGCTGTGGGACAACTACAAAAGATGTAACATGCACATAATGAGACTAGGAGGAGGAGAGAAAGGAACACAAGGAATATTTGAAACATAGTGACTGAGAATTTTCCCCAAATTAATGTCAGACACCAAACCACAGATCTAGGAAGCTCAAGAAGACACCAAGCAGGATAAATAACAAAAACAAACAAAAAACTATACCTAAACATATCATTTTGAGACTACCGAAAAACAAAAATAAAAAATCTTGAGATAAGCCAGAGGGAAAAAAACACCGTACCCATAGAAAAACAAAGAGAAGAAAGCTGATTTTGAGAATCACGTGAGCAAGGAGAGTGCAGTGAAATATTTAAAGTGCAGGAGGAAAAAAAAATCACTAACCTAGAACTCTGTGCAAAGTTATCCTTCAAAAGTGAACGAGAAATAAAGACTTTACCAAACAAAAATGGAGGGAATTTGTTGCCAGTAGACCTGTCTTGCAAGAAATGTGCAAAGAAGTTCCTTAGAGAGGAGGAGAATGATATAGGTCAGAAACACGGATCTACATAAAGAAAAGCAGAGCACTGAA